TCGTCGCCGTCGTTGGCGACTCACGTCCAGCGCCACCAGCCCGAGGGAGAGGAGTATCCGTGGGCCTCATTCGCCTGCCTCATGGACTCCTCCCAGGCGTCCTGGACGCCCTCCTCGGTCTGGATCGCCACACTACGATGCACTTCTTCCTGCTGCTGTGCTGTGCCTCGCGTCGCCATGAATGTCCCTCCCGTAGGAATCCCCTCGTCTCTTTCGCCACCAGCTCCGCTTACCACTGTCTCAACATCGCAGGGCATGCTGGGGTCCGGGGTCGACGAGACGGGGGCCTCTTTTGGGACACATGAGCGCTACAGCACGCAAGCGTCAAAGCCAAAGCGGCTATACACGGGCCGAGCAAGAGAGGCGGAGGTGCGAAGAGGAAAGACAGGGGGCCCGTCCAAGTCACACTTAGGGGTAGGGGGGACAGGGCCTTCGGCGGAGCACCCTATGGGGCCACGAAACGTGTGAGGGCTGCGCCGAAATGGCGTTGGAACTGCATGCGGACCCTGCCACTGGAGCCTTGGGCGGACCACCCTATGGGGCCACGAAATGTGGAAGGGGTGCGCCGAAATGGAGGTGGAACTGCATGCGGACCCTGCCACTGGAGCCTTGGGCGGAGCACCCTATGGGGCCACGAAACGTGTGAGGGGTGTGCCGAAATAGAAGTGGAACTGCATGCGGACCCTGCCACTGGGGCCTTCCGCGGAGCACCCTATGGGGCCACGAAACGTGTGAGGAGTGCGCCGAAATGGAGGTTGAACTGCATGCGGATCCTGCCACTGGGGCCTTGGGTGGAGCACCCTATGGGGCCACGAAACGTGTGAAGGGTGCGCCGACACGGGGGTGGAACTGCATGCTGACCCTGCCACTGGGGCCTTGGGTGGAGCACCCTATGGGGCCACGAACCGTGTGAGGAGTGCGCCGACATGGATGTGGAACTGCATGCGGACCCTGCCACTGGGGCATTGGGTGGAGCACCCTGTGGGGCCACGAAACGTGTGATGGGTGCGCCGACATGGGGGTGGAACTGCATGCGGACCCTGCCACTGGGGCCTTGGGTGGAGCACCCTATGGGGCCACAAAACGTGTGAGAGGTGCGCCGAAATGGAAGTGGAACTGCATGCGGACCCTGCCACTGGGGCTTTTGCTGGAGCTCCCTATGGAGCCACGAAGCGCTGTAATGGATGGGTGAAGCGCAGGGAGGAGGGAGGAGAGGGAGGAGGAGGGAGGAGGGGGAGGGGGGAGGGGGCAGCGGGAGGAAGGCGGGAACGCGGGGCGCTGTCTCTTCAAAACGAGGACCCAACACCACAGGATGGTTGGGAAAAACACGAAGACGGCCCAAGCTGCTTCCAACACATCCTGCGGTCGACACACGCCGGCTTAAGAGAGGCCTAGGAGGCACTGCGGGGGCCCTTCTCTTCGCCGCGGCTGGACGTAGCCGGAGGGAGCGGGAGTAACAGGGGATGTGAAAAGGGGTTCCCTGGGGGAGAGGAAGGAGGAGGAGGCTGAGGAGGAGGAACAAAAGGAGGAGAAGGAGGACGAGGAGGAGGAAATATGACATGTCTTTTTTGTAGGCACAACCAGGCTGCGAGGCGAACTTGAAAAACAAAAAAAAACATGTTGGAAATCCTTTTTTCCCAACAGTCCTGAAGTGTTGGGTCATCGTTTTGAAGAGACGGTGCCGCGCGTCTCCTCCTCTCCTCTCCTCACCGATCCTCCTCCTCCTCCTCCTGCTCCTCCCTCCTCCCCCTCCTTGCATTTGCATTCCGTTTGTCTGTGTCTCGGTACACCCCTCACACGATTCGTGGCCCCATAAAGGGGGGTTCCACCGAAGATCCCAAAGACGCAGCCCGCACGGCGCCGCCATCCCATTTTGGCACACCCCTCACACGTTTCGTGGCCCCATAGGGAGCTCCATCTAAAATCCCGGTGGCGCAGCCCGCATGGCGCCGCCGCCCCATTGTGGTATACCCGTCACACGCTTCGTGGCCCTATAAGGAGCTCCATCTAGGGTCCCAGTGGCGCAGCCCGCATGGCGCCGCCGCCCCATTTTGGCACACCCCTCACACGCTTCATGGCCCCATAGGGAGCTCCACCTAAGATCGCACTGGCGCAGCTCGCATGGCGGCGCCGCCCCATTTTTGTACACCCCTCGCACGCTTCGTGGCCCCATAACGAGCTTCATCTAGGATCCCAGTGGCGCAGCCCGCATGGCACCGCCGCTCCATATTGGCACGCCCCTCACACGCTTCGTGGCCCCATCGGGAGTTCCACCTAAGACCCCAATGGCGCAGCCCGCATGGCGCCGCCGCGCCATTTTGGCACACCCCTTTCACACGCTTCGTGGCATCATAGGGAGCTCCATCTAAGGTCCCAGTGGCGCAGCCCGCATGGCGGCGCCGCCCCATTTTGGTACACCCCTCACGGGTTTCGTCGCATCACAGGGAGCTCCATCCAAGGTCTCAGTGGCGCAACCCGCATGGCGGCGCCGCTTATTTTGGAACACCCCTCATTCATTTCGTGGCCCGTCACGCGTCTTGGAGACCTTCTCTCGGTCTCGTGGACTCTCGCCCTGGGCCGTCGGCTATCTGGCGCGCTGCTCCCTCGACCGACGTCGCCCAGGCGTGATCCTGGATTGCGGCCGCCACGAGGCGGGGAACGGCAAGAAGGAGGGCGACGACTGGTGGGTGGAGCTCTACGCGCTGCTCTCGCGCGCCACGCGCCACGAGGACCTCCTGCTCATGCGGGCGCCGCGCATCGAGTTCTTCCTGGCATGGCCGCCGGAGGGATTGCGGAAGCAGCTGGAGCAGTTTGCTACGCGCACAAAGCGGCGCAGGAGAGAGGCGACAGCCTTCGCCAGGGAGCTGGGCTTCACCGAGGTTATACGCGAGGCTTGACTTGAAAAGCGAGCCGCCCGAGCCTCGCCGTCTCTCGGCGGTCTGACTGCTTGGCTTCGTTCGCGCCGCGGGCAACCCGCGCGCGTCGCTGGGACCCTCTCGGGGCGACCAGCGCGCGTCGCGGGAATTCCCCGCTGCGCTCTGCCCAGAGCCTCGCTCGCCCCCGTCGTTTCTCTGCCCAGCGGCCACAGCCTTGCCCGCTACTAGCCAGTCAGCTAGCTCTCTCTGCTCCGCGCAGCGGACGACCCGTGCGCGTCGCCGGGACCCCTTCGGGGCGACCAACGTGCGTCGCGGGGACTCCGCGCGGCGCCGCGCCCGCAGCCTCGGACATGGGCGTGCACGGGCACAGAGAGAGAGAGAGAGAGAGAGAACAATAGAGAAACAACAACAAAAAACGGGAAGGAAGCGGGCGCGACCATCGGGAGGAGCGTGCCGACATGGGCGTCGACGTTTATGCACGTAGACTGATTCGCACGCAGACTCATTCACAATCAGACTCACTCGCGCTCAGTCTCTCGCACGCAGGCCAATCGTCTTCGCTCGCGCTGTGTGCCCCGCCACGCATTTCGGCACGCCCCTCGCACGGTTCTTGGCCCCATAGGGAGCGCGGGTAAAGATGAGACTCATAATTGCAGTATTCACAGCTGCGTATGGTTGGGTCACTCGCCAGGATAATTGTTTCAAGTGCCCTCGGGGCCTCTCTTGGGGCTCGTTTTGGCTTCTGTGGGGATTATTAGGGACCTCTTGAGGCGTCCCGCGGGCCTCCTGGGGCGAAGATCTCGGGGTCTCGGTTCACGTCCCCGATCCTGGGCCGCAAATGGGGCCCTCTCGGGCCGTGTTGGGCGTCTCTTCGGCCAATGTGGGGTGTCTGAGGGCGCTTCTGAAGCCTATTGGCTCGTTTTGGGGCGATCCTCGGAACCTCTTGTGGCGACTTGCAGCGTCGGGAAGCGGAACGGGCGGAACCGCCGAAAGTGATCATAGACTCGTGGAACATCAATGTTTGTCTGGGGGACCTCTTGAAGCTTGTCGGGAGACCTCTTGGAAGCCTCTTTGGGGGGCAATTTGGGCCGTCTTGAGGCCGTCTTGGACCGTCGCATGGCCTTCGACCAATCCTGCCACCGTGCCTGGGTTGTGGGTTAGAGGCCTCTTGAAAGTTCGTTTGGATATCGTAGGAGGCCTTTCGGGGGCCTCTTGGAGGCAGTTTTGGAAGCCTCCTGGGGGCCGTTTGTGGGCCTCGTTTTGGGCCTCTTGGGGGCCTCGTGGGGCCTCCAGGCTCTAGGGGGCCTCCGGGGATGCCTTGGGGGCCTCTTGGGGACTCCAGGGGGCCTCTTTGAGCGGAAGGCTCGAAATGTTAGTTCGTGCTCCCCCTCTTAGGGCCCCTCTTGGGGCCCTCTTGGGCGACGCGGCACCGAGGCGACCACCACACTTAGAAAACCACCCGCCCTAAATCCGTGAAACTCTTGTACATGCTTCAAACGCATGTGCGCGGCACTGAGGCGATAGCCACATCTGGACAACGGCCCGCCCTCGATCTTTGAAGCTGCAATAAGTGTTGAAACATATGGGCCATACATAATGATGAAATATCAAGCGACACGCCCGGCCCGCCCGCCCCTTTGACCGGCCTCGGGGTGCGACAGGGAGGAGTTATCGATAAGGTATAGGAACAGAGGAGGAGGAGGAGGAGGAGGAGGAGGAGGAGGAGGATTTAAAGGAAAACGGAGGAGGATCGACCACTTCCCCGGGACCAGTTCCCCATCCCGAGACTTTCTTCGACGGTCCCAGGCGCAGTAAGGGCCCCGAGAGGCCGAAAATCATGGACAACTGTTGTATTGATTCTTTTCGAGACGCTGAATGTCTGGGGAGCAGGGGAAGGAAGACGAAGGAGTAAAACCAAGAAGGCACGGAAGACGAGAGGAAGAGAGGAGGGAGGAGGCGGAGAAAGAGTGAGAAGAGGAGGCCGACGAGGAGAAGGTGGAGGAGGATTCCGGAGGAGGAGGAGGAGGAGGAGGACGAGGAGGAGGAGGAGGAGGAGGAGGGAGGAGGGAGGAGGAGAAGCGAGTCCGCGCCGGCGGTCGCTTGCGAACCGCCCCCCGCGCAGTCCTGCCCTCCGTTCGCCCGTCGAAGATGCGCACCTGTAGGCGCGGGGCGCGCGGCCGGCCCGCGCCCGGCCACCTCGGGCCATCGCCTGGCATCCTCGTGCTCCTCTCCTCCTTCTCCTCCTCGCCATGGTCCTCCTCCTTCGCCTCCTCCCCTCCTCCTTCCTCCTCCTCCTCGTCCTAATCCTCCTCCTTCTCTCCACTTCTCTTCATCCTCCACACTTCTCTTCCTCCTCCTCCTCCTCCTCCTCCTCCTCCTCCTCCTCCTCCTGCTCCTACCCCCCCTCCTCCGCCTCCTCCTCCTCCTCCTCCTCCTGCTCCTACCCCCCCCGTACCCCCCCCTGCCCCTGAGGAGGAGGAGGAATAATAATATAACAGGGCGGGGGACAATAGGAGGAAGAGGGGAGGAGGATAGGATGAGGCACGGTGGGGGACCGTGAAAAACCGAAACGGAAACATGACGCAGAACGCTGGGCGCGGCTGGCGGCCAGGTGCGACCGGCGCGGGCGGGCAAAAACACTCGCAGAACCTCGCGGCACCCGAATAACTCGACTTCCCAGCGATGAATCCAAGGTGGGGTCCAGACGGATGGGGCCAAACCCAGACCCGTGGCATCGTGCACACACTCACAAGGGGAAATTGTTTGCGATTTTCGGCCTCCAGGGGCCCTCACCGGCCCTCGGGACCGTTGACAGAAAGACTCAGGACGAGAAGCTGGTCCCGAGGAGTGGGTCGGAACCTCGTGGGGTCGACGTTGTGGAAGAGTCATGATGTCGGTGCTACTGGGGATGGGGTATGCCGAACAATGAAACTGCACCCTTGGGGATGGGGTGTCCCAAACAATGAAATTGCACCCTTCGTGCAACGTTCGCGCGCGCGCAGAGGTTTCTGACACCGCGTCCATCGTTCAACCTTGGATCGATCGTGGCCCCGATCGTTCCAGGTTGAATTCCATCATTTCCAATGGCGTCGCTGTGTCCGTCGGTGCTCCCGCGTCGCAGAATTCAACGTTGAACGCCTTTGCCGGAGCCGCAGGTGGGCCAACGCCGTTACGTCCTCCTCCTCCTCCGACCTGCATCAGGGCCTCACCTATGAGCCGCCGGTCCCGACCCCAGGCAGGGTTCCCGCCGGCGCGGCCCGGCCAAACTGCGGCGCCCCCCCCCCCGCACGCCGCCGCTACGCGGCGCACGGGGCGCGTCCGGGCCAGAGAACGGTGTCTGCAAGCCGTCGGCGCAGGGCACCCGTCTCGGGCCTGCGCCGACGCTGTCGACCCCCTTGGGCCCGGGGCCCGAGCCGGAGACTCCTCCCGAGGCCCAGGCTCGGATGGAGCGGCCTTCCTCGTCGCCCTCGTCGGGCCGTCGCCGTCGCCGTCGCCGTCGCCGTCGTCGTCGTCGCCATCGCCGTCGTCGCCGTCGCCGTCGCCGTTGCCGTCGTCCCCGTCGTCGTCGCCGTCGTCGTCGTCGCGTCGCCGTCGCCGTCGCCATCGTCGTCGTCGAATTCTCGCCGTCCTCCGCGTCGTCTGCTCCAGCTTCTTTACCCAGGATTTCGCACTTGACGGCCCCGAGGTCCGAAAACTGTCCCCAGAGACCGACAATTGAAGAAAAAACGCTCTCCAACACAGAACCTCGAACTTCGCTCCAGGAGGAGGAGGAGGAGGAGGAAGAAGGAAGAGGAGGAGGAGGAGGAGAAGGAGGAGGAGGAGGAGGAGGGGCGAGCATCGGAGGGAGCGGTGCCGCCCCCCCCGCGCCCGCGCGCGCCCCACGCGCAGCGGGCCCTCGCGCCTGCCTCGGCGGGCGCCCGCGCGCTCAGCGCGCGCGGCGCGCGACGGCCTCTCGGGCCCCGCGCGCCCCCACCCAGCGCCACTGCGTGCTTAGCGGCCGTCGGCCGAGCCAGCGCGCCCAGCGCGGCTGGGGGTCGTCCATCAGCCCGTCAGCGGCTCGATGGACACCGCGATCTTGCCCGAGACCGCTGGCGCCAGCTTCTTGCCCAGCCTGGCGACGGCCAGCTTGCCCTTGGCCGGGGCGCGGCCGCAAGGGGCGGCGAAGCTGGCCGCGCGCGCGGAGCCCACGGCGCCGCAAGCTGCGCAGGCCACGAGCGACATCTCGCGCACGAGGCCGGCCTCGCGCAGGGGCCGCAGCAGCGCCAGGAAGTGCGCGTCGTGGCCGTCGCCCTTCAGCCGCTCTTTGTGCTGCAGCGCCGCCGCGATGATCGAGCCCGGGCACTCGCTCGTGCGTTCGACCCACCTGCCGCGGCTGCGCCACCTCTTGCCAGGAGGGCCTCGCCAGTCGCACGAGAGCTTCGCCGCTGGCTGCGCTGCCGGTGCCTTCAGCGCTGGGCGGTTCGGCTTGGCGACACGATGCGTGGTGTCCCTGCCGTCCACGGCGCCGCCCACCGTCGAGGCCCGCACGCCGATGCCCTCCCTCGACCAGCTTGTCCGCCATGACGAGGCGCTGCCGATCAGCGTGCTGAATGCGCCCAGCGGCCGCTGCCGAGTTGGCAGCTCTGTCGGCGTAACAAGTTGCCCAGCCAGTCCCTGTGCGCGATCTTGCCGCGGTCGATGGCCCTCTTGGGCCGGTGGGCGGGCGCCTTCCTGACCGGCGGCCCATCGAGCCCGAGGCCGCCGAACTCGCCCAGCAGCCTCCACGCCTCTCCCCAGAGGTGAGCCCACGCTGCCCCATGCGCCGCGGTGCGCCCGGGCCCAAGCTCCAGGAGGCCGCGGCGCACGAAGCCGATATCCACGACCGCTGTGACGGGCGACGCCGTGAACCTGAGGACCATGATGAGCGTCATGAGCTCGCGGCCGCTGATGCCCACGTGCGGCTCGCACAACATGCCCGACACCCCTCGCAGGAAGACGTCCGCGTCCCGCTCGAGCGCAACGACGGCCCAGGCCACGCTGGCACACCGTGCCCGTCACGCTCGCCCAGCCAGCAGATGTGGGGCGACGGGCTGGGCTTCGCGATCCCCATAGGGGCTGGCCACAGCACGCGCTCCAGCATGCAGCGCGCTCACCTTGCGGGGCAGGCGCAGCTCGGGCGGCCAACCAGCGCAGCCGCAGCGCCTGTGGAAAGGGGGGTGCCAGCTTTGCCGCACAGCAGGCACGAGTCGTCCACAGCCATGCCCTGCTCGAACTTGCGGCTCTGACACCACTGCCCGGTGGCCACCACCGAGGCGATGTAGTAGCCGCGCTCCTTGGGTGTATCCTGAGCGTTGGCTATGCCAGCATCCATGGGATTCGGCCCATGGTCCATCCGCACCACAGGGGCGCCCTCCTCACGCGTCGACTCTGACGCCAGCACAGCGGCCCCAGGCACTCCGCCAGCCCTCGGCAGACCGACGAAAGGCCGTCGAGCACGAGTATCCAGCTCACCTCGCTGAGGCTCAGCTCCGCCGCAAACTTGGGACCCCAACTTCCCCGCGACCTCCTCCGAAGCGGTCGCTGTCCTGCTGAGCCTGCCTCTGGTGCGCAACTCCTCCGAAGGCGGCCTCGAACTCGACGATTCGGCTGCCTAATCTCTACGCGTCATCGACGACCTCTGAGCAGCGGGCTCTGACGACAAATCAGGGCAGACCGCGGCCGCCAGCGGCGGCACTGGCGTCGTGGCGGCGGCCCCGCGGGCGGCATCTGCAACGCGCCTGCCAGGCGCAGCAACTCCTCCTCCGCCTCGATCATGGAGCGCGTGTGCCGCGCCACCTGCTCCTCCCACTCCCGCGCGTCGAACCGGGCCAGCCTGCGCATGTTGGCGTGGTAGTTGGCCCGAATGCGTCGCCGTGCTGCCCGCGCCGCCTCGCAGAAGTCCTGCGCCATCCTGAGCCTGACCATGCCCATGTTGTCGATGCCGATCGCCCGAGCAGCCTCGTTGACGAGCGGCGTCCACGTACCATGCATCAGCAGGTCGGCCACGTAGGACACGCACAGGCGCAGCCAGTGCGCTCTGTCTCCAGCTTCGTCAAGCACAGAGACGTCCTGGAGCCAGAACGTGGCGTAGGCCCTCAGCCCCCTTTCGAACGCCATGCACGCCGACGCGGCAGCTCGCCGCGCAGGGTCCTGGCCCTTGGCCCCCGTGACTTGCAGATGTGCCCCGAAGAGGCCGTTGCGGCTGACGGTGCCAGCGGCGGTCATCATAATCAAGGGCTCGAAGACGCCGCCGTTGGCCAGGTGCTCGAGCCCAGTACCCTTGCTGACCTCACGCCATTGCCATGCTTGCACAGCACGCAACAGGAGACGCCTGACGATCAATGGGGCCAGATCGAAGACCTTGATGTCGGAGAGAGCGTGATCCACCGCCGCTTCACTGCAAAAAATTGCCAACCTCTTCCTCCGGAACCCAGGGGTCGCCCCCCCCCCCCCCCTCCGAAAATCTCTCCCCCCCCTCCCTGGGACCCCCCCCCCCCCCCGGCAAAACCCCCCCTCCCCACCCCCCCCCTCCCCCTCGAAAACCGGGAGGGGGGTCGCCGCCGGTTCGAACCCCTCCCCCCCCTCCCCCCCCCTCCGGATCCGGAAAACCGGGGGGGCGGGGGGGGGGGGGTCGCTGCTGGTTCGAACCCCCCCCGCCCCCCCTCGAAAACCGGAGGGGGGCCACTGCCGGTTCGACCCCCCCCCCCCCCCCCCCACGCACCCGCCAGCAAGCGACTCCCGGCCCCTACCGCCGTCCGCATCACATCCCCCACTGTTGTTCCCAGCACCACTGTCCTCGCCACCACTGTCCACACTGGTTCCACCACCGCCCCTACTGCCCCCACCAGTGCCCCCACCACTGTCGCACTGTCCCCGCTATCCCCACCACTGTTCCCACCACGGTTCCACTCTCCCCACTGTCTCCGCGGCCCCAACCACTGCCCGACTATCCCCGCTGCCCCTACTGTCCCACTGACTCCTCCGCTGTCCCACTGAGCTGTCCCACTGTTCCCACCGCTGCCCCCACTGTCCCCACCACTGTCCCCGCTGTACCTCTGTCCCATTGTCCCACTGCCGTCCTCGCCACCGCCTGTGCCACTGTCCCAACCACCATTGTACCCTCCACTGTTCCACTGTTTCCACCTCGTTCCCACTGTCACCACGCCACTGTCCCCACCACCACCGTCCCCACCACTGTCCACTGTCCTCCCTGTTCCCACCATTGTCCCCACCACTGTCCCCGCCACTACCGTCCCCGCCACTGTCCCACTGTCCCACTGTCCCCGCCACTGTCCCGCTGTCCCCTCATCACTGTCCCCGCCAACGCCGTCCCCACCACTGTCCGCACCCCCACTCGGTTTTCGAAGGGGGAGAGGGGGGGGTTCGAACCGGCAGCGACCCCCCTCCCGGTTTTCGAGGGGGGGGGGTTCGAACCGGTAGCCCCCTTTTCATGATGAGCTGGGGGGCGGCGGGGGGCTCGAACCAGCAGTGGCCCCCCCCGGTTTTCCGGAGGGGGGGGGGAAGGGTTCGAACCGGTAGTGACCCCCCCGGTTTTCCGCCAGTAGCGGTAGAACACGCTCTTTTTCTGATGTCGACATCTTCGTGCGTGCGCCAGGTGGCGGCGTTGACCACCTGCCAACCGACCCGCTCGAGGGTGAGCCGCGCTGCACTGAGGGGCCCGCGCGCCTGGCTCCAGTTCTGGGCACGGCAGCAAGTCATGGCGTAGTCGATGATGCGCTGGGGAACCCAGCCTTCCCAGGCCGCCCGCAGCAGCACCATGGTGGGCAGGAGCGTGGCTCCGATCATCGGGTCGAGCATGGGCGTCAGCGATCAGGGTGAGCGCGCGCGACCATCCAGCCACGCTGGGCGCGACCGCCTTGAACGACTCCGTCCGCAGCGTGTCCACTTCCATGGTGGCGCAGCCAGTGACGGTGACGCCGTAGGTCACGCTGGGTTCGACGCCAGCCCTGGCGGCCTTGCGCACAGCCATCTTGCGCCCTGCCCCTGTCTTGAGGATCGCCACGCGGCTCTGACGTAGCCGCGCCTGCAACAGCTTCCCCTGGCGCACCTTGCGCGCGATTCGCCTGCCACGCGAGAAATCAACGCCCAAGTTGCGCTCGCCCTTGACCGAGATCACGCCGAGCGGCCGGCGCAGACGGGCAGCCAGGCCACGGCGAGCAGCTGGGAGGTTCGCCCAAAACCCCTTGACTTCTTGACCGCCACGTCAAGGTCCACATCCATGAGTAGCGTCTTGAGCTTGAAGGCTGCCTCAGCAACCCCCTTCGTCACCCGCGCGAGCCCGCCGACTCGATGGAGCATGAGGTCGTCCACGACCGCCGCCAGCGACGCGGTCGGGCGCTGGATGACCAGGCGGTAGAGCGGCCCGATCAGAATGAGCTTCAGCAGCGAGGTCGCGAAGCCGTCACCAGGCAGGATGGACTGCCTCGCCTCGACCACGCTCGAGGCAGCGCTGCCCATGCAGAGGGCCGCCGGCACGCAGTGTAGCTCAGGCGCCTTGAGCAGGTCGAGCAGCGCGGCGACCGCCGCCCAGGACTCGGCGTCGCCGCGGTCAGCGCCCCGCTGCGTGGCCCACTCTCCGATCGCAGTTTGATGCCATGGGGCCCCGTCGCCCGCCGGCATGGGTGATCGTTTGCCTCCTCCCACTTGCGGGCGAGGCCAAGCGGCGCCGCGCTCGATCGCCGTGGGGATGTCGGTGAGGACCTCCGACGCCTCGTCGCATATCTCATCAAGCTGGCGCGGCCTCACGGCACAGAAGGACATGCCCGTGGTGGCCCTGAAGGAGCGCAGCACCTCGCGCAGTTCCTGGACTGAGGGCCTCGGCGGCCCCTCGCCCAGGCCCGAGGGCCAGTGCAATCGCACGTGCTCGCAGGATGTCCTCCACCAGCGACTCCACTCTACCTCGGGCTGCGTCACCTGCTGCCCGAGGTCCATGGGATCGAACAGCTGCCTGCAGTCGCCGAGGCCGCCGTCGTTCTCAGCTTCGCCGATGGGGCTCGGGTCGAACCCGATGGGCAGAAGGGGGGCTGCGCGAAGACCGCCACCTCCACCTCTGGCCTGCTTCTTGACCCGCTGCTGGAACTGGGCGGTCCGCTGCGCCATGTCCCGCTCCGCCAGCTCGAGCGCGATCGCGCGCGCGCCCGCGTGGAGCTGCTGCAGCGCGACAGGGCCCAGCAGGGGCAGAGGCAAGCTGCTGAGCAGCATCCACCAATCTACGGCTTGAGGCAACACCTGCGGGCAAGACAGAAACTCAGAACCTCGCCGGTATCAGGCGTCGACCTCACAGTGGCTGGGGCTCTGTCTAGCAGTCTGCGCACGCCTCGAAAAGCGCCGAGACGCGCGCGCGGCTGCTCCCCGGCGGCGACGTCGAGCAGCGCGCTGGCCACGCTGTGCGCCCAGGTCGCCTCTGCAGAAACTCGGGGCCAGCGGGCGCCGGCAACGGGAAGCCGACGGCACCGCCGCGGCTCGGCACGGCAAGCTCGCCCCTTGTGCTTGACCCTGTCACACTCCGCCAGGTAGATGTCGATCCACTCATCCTCGGCGGCGTCGAGGAAGCGCTGCCAAGCAATGGTGAGGTGGCCCCTGGTGCTGCTGTCGCGCTCGACCTGGTCCAGCACCCTCTCCTGCCCGCCAGCAAGCAAGCCCTGAAGTTCTTGGCCGATCTCGCTCCAGCGCTCGCCGTACGCATGGCGATCGCAACGCGCGGGCCGCTGGGCAGGGAAGGGCTCGGGCACCTCCGCGACCCTGACCCGTGGCTTTCGGCGCGAGGCCTCCAGCTCCAAGATGACGAGCTTGCGCGGGTAGACAGGTGACCCGCTGACCACTCGGATGTCGGTCACCTTGAGTCCTCGCGAGACGATGAACAGATCGATCGTCCTCTTCGACTGCGCGCAGGCGGGCTCCGACGTGTCCGCGACGACGGCGTCGAAGAGCCTCTGCGCGCCCAACTTCGCCAGCTCCTGCTCGGCGCAGTCGAAGTCGCCCCCGACCGCGCACGGGCGACCATGCTCCCGCAGCCTGCAGGCCAGGTCTTTCAGCGAGGGCCTGGTAGTTGAACGCGTTGACGCCAGCGCCTGACTGCAGGTGCATGTTAGCCAGCACGATGTCACCGCGCAGTGGCCCAGAGTGATGTAGACGCGCACGCGCCCCTCGCGTGGGACGAACGGGCGTGACCCCAGCACGGCGGCAAGCCCATGCTCGCTGCGCACACGCGCGAGCAGCCCCCCCGTCGCCAGCCATCCAGCCAACGACGGCACCGCGGCTGCACCGCAAGCACGAAGTCCCTATACGACGAAGAGCCTCTTCAGCGCCCGTCGCGCGTGCTTGTCCCAGCCGGGTTTCCTGATATGACGTCGCAGCCGACCCGGTCCTCGATGAGACACCTGTCGACGTTCGAATAAGATTTCATTCTCAGCGGCGCGATGCTCCAGGACTGGGCACGGCTACCCCAGCCGCGGCTTCTTGGCCTCGACCGCGGCCTCGTGCTTCTGCCTGAGGGTGGGCCTGGAAATCCTCGACGGACTCCCGCTTCGCGGGGTCGGAGCCGACGAAATCCGAGGCGGCGGCCTGGAACGCGTCACCCGTGGCAAACTCCAGCGGGCCCCCTACGAGGTCCACGTCGAAGCCGTCGCCAGCGGCGACGTCCGCAGCGGCAGCCCCAGCTGCAGCCCCACAGCCGCTTGCTGGGGCGCCCGCGGCGCCACCGCCCGCTGCGACTGGTTCAGGAATGAGCTGCCAATACTCCTGCCAGCAGCGCGGAAGGGGGCCCGGCAGGTCCTCGCTGAGCTGGAGGTTGGGGATCTCCAGGGACGCACCCACGACGCCCTCGAGATTCTGTGCGTGGCCGATGAGTTCGCCAACGTCGCACTTGGGCGCGGCGCCATGCGTGGGCGCGGTGTCGTTGGCGAGCGCGGCCTTGGCCCTGGAGGCGGCGGAGTCCAGCTCGACCTGTAGCTGCGCGACCTTCTCCTTCTGCATGAAAGAAGCCTGGAGCGCCTCAGCAGCCAGCTTCTGCTTCTTCTCGTAGTCCACCTTGGCTTGCTGCAGCCACTTGCAAGCTTCGTCCGCCTTCGCTTGCGCAGACTTGACCGTCTTGATCTCAAAGAACGTGCCCAGCTGCTGATGGAGCAGGAAGGGCGACTGCCGCAGGCTGTGCTTGTCGCTGGCGGCCAGCGTGGCGGACAGCAGCTCGAAGTCGGCATCGCTGAGTGCCAGGAAGCGGTCGCGGGCCTCGGGCGAGAGCTTGGGCGGCGGCGCCCCACAGCCCCCGCCACCTCCACGCTTCGGCTTCTGCACGATGTGCCACGGGCGGGAGACGCCAGCACCATCCGCCCAAGGCGGTGGCAACACCAGCTTGTCCTCTGAGCTGACTCGCGCGCTGCACCAGCGCCAGAGCCGCCGTCGCCGCCGAGAGAGGAGGAACCATGCCGCGCGAACGGCTCGCCACAAGGGCGGCGGGCTCCTCACCTGGGGCTGACCAGGCGGAGACAATGGAAGACTGCGGCGGACTAGCGGTATCCTTGCAGGCACGGAGGCGCGGAGCCCCCCAAATGTAGGCATCTTGAGCCAAATTGGTTACGCAGGAAGAGGAGGAGGAGGAGGAGGAGGAGGAGGAGGAAGAGGAGGAGGAGGGGGAGGGGAGGAGGTGGGAGAGGAGGAGAAGGAGGAGGAGGAGGAGGAGGAGGAGGAGGAGGAGGAGGAGGAGGAGGAGGAGAAGGAGAAGGAGGAGGAGGGGGAGCCCCTGCCTGCTCGCGGGAACCAGTGCCAAGCTGGAGAGAGGTGCGCTCCGACCCCCTCGCCCAAAACGGGGGGGAACCGGGGCCCCGACCCGTTTGCTCCCGGGGCGCGCGGCCGAGCGGCCGGGCCGCGGGAGGCCCTCCCCCCCGGGGGGGCCCGGCAAGGACCGGCCCGGATCGCATCGTCGATCGCTCTGTTCCCGGGCGCCCTGGCTCAAGGGCCCTAGACGGCAGCGGAGAAGCAGGGATGGATGGGGGACGAGGAGAGGCGAGGCGAGGAGGAGGAAGCCGGAGGTGAGACAGCGGAAGGGCAAAAGGCTGGGCGGTTGACAAGGGGGGCCGTGCAAGAGGGG